CCACCACGGTCACGTGACTTCACGTTAGTCTGTAAAGGAACTCCACCGCGGTCACGTGACTTCACGTTAGCTGCAGCAGGCGTGGCCTAATGTGTGTGTGTGCGTGTGCGTGACAGTCGGTGATGACGCTGCTGACTCCTGAGAGTCTGGCCTAGTCCTAAAGGTCCTAAATTTGATCAGTGGATTGAGTGCTGTCTTTTTCCACGACCATAAAGCGGCAGATCGTAGTGCTCGTGTTTAGTCCCCCCCCCTCTCTCTGGGGAGACCCCCCTCACAGCCAGTCCCCCCCGAGCATTTTTAGCTCTGGGAACAAATAGAGGGCGCTAGGGCGCCGCCCCACCTTATTATATTATACAGAATATTATTATATGATATATATATATATTATTATATTATACTGAGACTAAAATAAGATGTCCTGACGTGTTTATCAAAGTGTTATTTCTGCTTTTTTTCATGTTGGAATAAAGGTTAAATATTTAACTGTAAAGTAGTAATACGTGTTTGATACCTTAATGCATTAAATCATTCTGGGATGTTTGCTGAGATTGATTGGATGTGGCACAGCCCTACCTAGAACATGTTCCACCAGCTCCACTGTCTGGGAATGTTTTGAGTGTCTGGTTACAGTTGTGGATGGGCGGGGTCGGAGGTCACTTCCACTGAAACCTGCTGTTTACATCCAAAACGTGTAACAGATTCCTCTTAAAGTAGTGGATTACATTAACACGTCGGCGTTTCCACTGTGTCTGACGATGTGTTTCTTGGCATTGTTTTAATTTGAGCCTGGCTGCCAGTCTATAAAAACATCTCACGCTGTCTCTGAAGAGTTTGATTTTTTTATTAACTTTCATAACCTAAAATAATATCAGGAGAAACAATCCATATACAGGCATTGATTGGCATAAAAATGTGCAAACACAGTAACTGTCAGCTGATGCAAGCTCTGAACAGATAATATAATATTACAGAGGTGACGAAAATAGTAGATATAAATATACCTTGTTTTTCACTTTCTACCAGCTCAGAGTGTTTTCTACCCCTGACTACTGTGTGGGGGGGGTATACATCCTGGAAACAGTTGTCTGGCACTGTGTGTACGTTTCCAGAAACAACATGCAAATAAGTTGTGTTTGCATTAATCCTAAAAGTGATTTAAGGCAGTAAATACATTTATAAAACGTCATGATACAGAAAGCATTGTTTTTATCAGCGAACAGAAGGTTCACATATTCATACATTTAGTTTTAACGTCAAGATTGTCGGAAGTTTTTTTTTTTTTTTTTTCATACAAAAATAAATTGGACAATCTTTGATGCGTGTGTAAATAAACTGAAACCTTCCACAGCACCCTCAGTTGAGTGAGATCAGTTCAACCCTTTCAAAATAAAACATCAAAGGAAAAAGAAAGAAATCACTCAAATAAATGTCCCGTTGTTCACAGACACTCGATCCCTCACTGTGGAGGACTAAAGCTGCCACTGCAGTAATTAAATGAAAAAATACTTACATTACTTAATAAATAAATGAAATAATAAAAGAATATAAACATGTTATGTACATTTATTTTTTTCAATTTCTGTCGCACATTTTTATTTTTTTTAATTAACCTGCACATTAAATGTTGATAATTGAGGATTTTAATTCCACATTTCTTTCTTTTATTCTTTTATTTATTCAGACATTTATGGATGTATTTATTTATTTATTTATTATAATGGCAACTTTAGTCTTCCAGACATATCAAGTGTTAACTTACCATCATGAAAACCTGCTTTTTCTTCTCCGTCTTTTAAATCGAACCTTCCTCAACAAACACATCTCATTCCTGTTCATTAAACCTCATTTATTTTGCTTAAAGAAACAGAAAGACATTCTGTTTGTTAAGGCCCGGCCTCTTTCCACCATCTGTCAGCTCCTCCACAAAGACACTGAGACTGTACGATACACAGTCACACACTGTAGAGATCAGCGCTGTGCTGCACGTGATAAACAACCATTCTGTCTCTTTTTTAAGTCGTCTTTTAAAACACAGCTGTGCTACGTAGTTACAGTATTAGTCTGTGTATCACTTAAACTTACTAAATCCTATGTTTCGTTTTTCTTAACAGTTATGAGAGGCACTTAAACAACCGCACAGTTCGTGAAACCTTCCAGAGCACATTTATGAACAGTCCGTCCTCGCGGTTTAAACACTTCAATCATTTTTCCAGGTCCAGTTGATAGAATGAAGCAACGGAGGATGAATTCTGTGATATAATGGGTTTGTGTCGTACTATAAAAACCATATGAAACCCTCTGCGGCTGCACCAGCTCAACCCTTCTTTAGTTCAATGTCCCTCAGGTGGTTATATTCTGCCCCCTCGGTGCCGTCATAAAGTATTTTGTCTCAGGAGAGCTGGGAACCAGGGCAGCGTTCAGGGTTATTTGGGGTTTCAGACGTCCCCCCCCCCCCCCCACGGTGGTCTCTACAGGTCGTCGCTCTCCACCAGACCGCCGGGCTGCAGCGGGCTGCAGTCGGGGAAGAAGGCCGCCTTCACGTCCAGCCCTCTCTCCGTCAGCGCGGCGTAGCGGCTGGTGGACGGACGCACCTTCTTGGGCTTGGGGAGGTTTGGCTGCTGCCACTGAGCTGTGGACGGAGCAGAGAGGGGGGGGTTAATAATGTGAAGAGAGGAAAACACAAAGAAATGCTTAATTAAGCAGTGTGTGTTTTTAAACCACTTTAGCTGAAAATGGTGACTTTCTTCTATTGGTTGAAACTGGCTACTGCATTTGAATTCTGGAGGCAGGTAAAGCCAAAGCTTCATGTGTTAAAGCTGCATCCTCTCTAGTGTCCACCAGGGGGCGACTCCTCTGGTTGTATAGAAGTCTATGAGAAAATGACTCTACTTCTCTCTTGATTTATTACCTCAGTAAACATTGTAAACATGAGTTTATGGTCTCAATCTCTAGTTTCAAGTCTTCTTCAATACAGCATGATGTTCATTTAGTAGATGATGGTTGATATAAAGCAGCGTGTGTGTGTGTTTTTAGATTGAACGTACTGTGGACGTCGAGGCGCGCGGTGCTGGACACGATGCCGGCTTCGTTCTTGGCTGACACGGTGTACCAGCCGGCGTCTTCTTTCATGGCTGGCTGGATGATCATACACAGGTAGCCACAGTTGTCCTGGTGCATGCTGGGAAAAAAGGAAAAATGACCCGTATTTAAAAGGACCAGTGTTTAGGATTTGGTGGCATCTAGCGGTGAAGTCTCATATGTGTCTTAAAACCTGCGTTCTCTCTAATGTCCATCAAGGGGCGACTCCTCTGGTTGTATAGAAGTCTATGAGAAAATATTTACCTGATTCTGTCCGTGTTGTGAGTGAAGGACTCGTTCTCCCTCTTCCAGAAGATCTGTGGGTGGGGAACTCCTGTGACGCGACACTCCAGTCGCACAGGATGACCGTCGGCCACGCTCGTGTTCTGCAGCTTCTCCACGAATGTCGGGGTCTTGTGCATCTCTTTGGCTGCAGAAAGAGTGAGTTAATGAGACCTTTTCTCTCTCCAAAATCATTTCCAACCGCCACTACCGCTGCTGCTGTGTTCCTGTTTTTTACCTGCAACGATGAGCTCCAGGTTGAAGGAGTTCTGCCCGGCCCGGTTGCTGGCGATGCAGGTGTAGATGCCGGCGTCGCGGCTGGTCACGGGTTCGATGACCAGCGAGTGCACGCCGTTCTCCCGCACCAGCATCTTGTGGGCGGAGTCCGGGCGGATGGTCTGCCCGTTCAGCTGCCAGATGAGGTCCGGAGTGGGCAGGCCGCTCACCTGCAAGGTGGCAAAAAAACAAAAAAGCATGAAAATTGACTCGGTGTGTGAAATGCTTGTTGGTCACGTGCTTGTTTTTGTTGGAGAAAATGAGGACATTAGCTGCATGTGTTCTGAGGAGGAAGTGTGTGTTGATTGGAAGGATAAGAAGCAGCAACGTTTGGTTCATCCGTCTGTGTTGTGTTTGGGCGCTTTGTCTCCGGAGTAAACTGCAGAAAAAGAGCCGTCTCTCTCTTTGCAGATAAACCTACTCCACCTGGAATATGTGCTTATGTGTTTACAGAGTTTACAGATATCAAAAAGGGAGATCAGACAGTGATGAGTATTTCTGGAAGCGGCCGGATACACTTTTAGAAGTTGGGACATTTTGAACACGGAAAGTTTGGAAAGCCACAAATGATGTGGAAATAAATATTTGCTATAAATATCTTTGACATTAAGAGGCTCTGCAGGAATAGAGACTCTCAGTTCAGTCTCTTTACAGCGAGTTAAGTGTGTGTTTTTATTGTATTACATGTAGCAGCTTTCAAAGAGTTGCTGGAGGTGATGAAGATAAAAGAGAGAGAATGAGCTGGAGGGGGGGGGGGGGGGGGGGGG